TCCTCATTCGTTTGTATCCACTCATTTGTTCATGCATTTCTTCTTGCATATGTTCCTTTTGTTGTTTCGTAACAATTGATGTCGTCCTAATTGTTGCAAAATTATTGGCACCATGTTCAAGAAGATTGGCAGTGACACCACCTGCTGAAACTTTATGCCGATTTCTGACAGATCCTGAAGAATAGTCGTTACCATCAGCATTCGGCAGCGGCAGGCTATTGGTAGAGGAACTTTGAGAGCTCGCGGAGACGCCCATTGAATGAATCGAGTGTTCTGAGGTAATTGAATTGCTTTTGCTACTATCACCACCCGTTTGTTCATCAGGAGTATCTGTAACAAGCAAACAGTTTTCAAAACTTTTTTTATTATTTCGTGTGTCTTCAATTTGTAAATTTAAGATATTTTAAGATATATTAAGGTTTTTTTTACACCGCTGCGTTAGGACCAATATTTGTCATTATCTATCATAATTATCATAAGACTATAACATTTCTTTTTTGTTTTTCTTTCTTTATATATCTATACTTGTCAAACAACTTTCATATTTTTTCACATGTAAGGATATTTTGCCTTTGTAAAATTTTAATTCTCGATATAGTAGATTTCTTGTCCCACAGTTTTAAAGATTTGGAAAGCTCGGTAAAATACATACAATACGCTAGCATACATGAGAATTATTTATAAGTAATAAATTATAGATTATTAGATTGAACATTTTGATAGACATACCGTCAGCGTCGCCAATTGTGCTCTCTGTTTCACATGCGTCGATCATCAGGATCTTCTTCATTTTACGATAATTCAAGTTATCTAATTCCCGGACAGCGGCCTTCGTTCTCTGTATCAGATCTATTAAAACTTGTGGAGAACGTGATCTGATGACAAATTGATGCTGTAAAATTGAAAGCCTATAAGAGAACAACTAGACTACTACTAACGTACTATCTAAAATAAAAAAAAATAAAAGAAACGAATATAGAGTAGTATTGTGGGTATACATAAGGACAACTCACTGATAACAGTTTGCCGGATGTTGGTCTTTCCACTGGGCTTTTCGTAAGACACACCTCAACAAAATGACGAAAAACATCAGTCCAATCTGGCGAATTTAATGTTGGAGTATCATTCTGTGCAATATGATACAAGGCGCTCATAGCGTTCATATTAAAATAAGGTGGTTTCCTTTCCGCTGTAAGTGTTAATACAATTAGAATAGCGCAATAAGATGCACGAAAGTTAACACTTCGCCGATGGGGGCTAATACACTAATATTTCCCTTTAATTTGGTCCATTGCGAGCAAATCCAGGCGCGCGCACAATAAAAGGAAAAACTACGCGTTCTCTCGGCGAAGTGTTGAGATATTAGTTACAGTTATGTCAAAATAAAACAATCACATTAATTGCACAAAAAATATAATCAATTTGTTGTGTGAAAGAAAATATATAAGGTGTGTGTGTATGTGTGTGTGAGTGTACAGTTGCGATGAATTGTGATATACAAAATAAATGTTGATCTATTAACTCTGTATTGAATAAGTTTTCACCGTGGTATACTATATCAACAGACCTAATTCGATGCATGTTATTCCTAATGACCATACGTCAACCTTGCCATCATATTGCCCCTCGTCCATGGCCAATATAACCTCTGGTGCCATCCAGTATGGAGTCCCTACGAAGCTATTGGCTGGACATTTTATACTCGCAGATCCAAAATCAGCTAATTTTACTGTACCATTCTCAGTAAGTAAAATATTTCCTGCTTTTACATCACGATGGATTCTTCCGAGAGAATGGAGATAATGCAAGCCACGCAATACACCTTCACATATTGCAGCTATCTCTTCTTCTTTCAAAGGTCTTTTATGTACTTCAATGATGTCTGATGCAGAGCCAAGACAATATTCCATCACCAACTGTGAAACAGGATATATCACGGTTTTATATCGTTCAGAAAATCTTATATTTTTAAAGATCTAGAATATAAGACAAAAAGAAAAAAAAAAAAAAGAAAATAACAATTTAATTATTCTGTACATACCCAGGCAGTGTGGTCCCTGAGATAGCAACCCTTATACTCTATAGTGTTGGGATGATTAAGTTGCCTAAGAAATCGAATTTCTTTCAAAATGTCCTGCCATTTTTCCACCGTTTGCTTCCCCAGGTAGGACATCTTTTTGATGGCAACAATTTCTTTGGTAACCAGGCATCGTGCATAGTAAACAGCCCCGAAACTGCCATGCCCGATCTCGCGCAAATCCTCAAATATTTTCTCCGGATCATTTTTCTCAAATAATTCGGCAATCTCTGGATCCTTTAAACTACCAGGCCTTGCAACAGCTGGCATAGTCGAGTTATTGATAATTAGATGTCCGAGGCCTAGTCCAGACACCTTGCCTTGTTATCGTCTTTAAATTCCTTGTCCTTCTGACTTTGTTGAATCCTCTGTCAGTCCATTCCCGAATTTAACATTCTATCTATAAAAGAAATACGCTTTATACTTTTTTATTCGTTGAGCCAACTAGCTATAAAGAATACGAATACTAGAAAGTACAAGACAATTTGTAACTATACTATGTGTGAAGTAGATTCCTTATTTAATTCGGAAATAAATATTTTTATAGATATTGTAAGAGATAAAAAGAAAAAAAAAGATGTAGTAATTTTTTCAACATCTCGGTAAATTAAAATTCTGCTAATGTAAGGACTTGAAATTAAATAAAAAATAAAGTTTTATTGTGCAAATTATGTTAAAAAGACACTTTTCCATCCACTTATATTTTCGAATTTAATTATACAAAAGTAATCCAGCTTCACAAATAAGCCTTTCGCAAAATTGTTGCCGATAGATTTTCAAGTTTAAGCAAGCAACTCTGAGTGCCTGTATTCACATTTGCTCCGTGTAAAAAGAATGGTTAATTTTCCACTCGACTATCAAAAGTCAAAGCATCATCCGACCGGATGCGTTTGACACAGCACAGCACAGCACAGAAATCGCAAATATAACAAACGTTTGGATTCGCGACTCATTATCCTACTTGTTATGATTTTTTTTGTGCACAGAGTGAAATCTAAAAGCGATCCCCCATCGCGAGAGCGAGAGCACGTAACACGGCTGAAACGACACAGAAATAGGCACGTTCCTGCAGAAGCGACAAGAACCATCGCACTCTCGTCATTGTTGTCGTCTTAGTCACGTTACTAGAGAGTGCGGCTAATACCTAATGTATGAAGGAGTAGAACACCGGTTGTCGTCGTTTCTGCATGACATTAATCACCCGCCACGGAGCATTGACTACCTTGTTGCGCGAGTTGCACCGGACTGGACCGGGGGGCGAAATTTGGCAGGGCGCGCACGGCGTTCCGACGTTGAGGGCGTAAGTAAAGAATTATTGAGCGGCACCGCGAGAACTTTTGAAAAAACCAGCCTCTGGACGAGAGTAAACCTTGCGAAAAGATCGAACGATGATGGTGGACATTGTAAGAAAAGTGCGGTGGATCGGATGATGACGGGGAATTCGCAGGAGGTGGAGAAATGCGGGCGTAAGGAGGGTTGGGTCTTCGCACTCGTCGGCCCGATCGCACTCCCCTCCCTTTTCGAGCGAGCGAGCGAGCGAGCGCGATGTAGCGCTGCACTGCGTTGCGCTGCGCTCCGATGCAGTACGTCGTCAACACGAAAACACACTTTGCATCAGCGTGTGTCACGGCCGCGAGTCTGGCTGAGCGGCTGGCGTGTATGCATGAATGCTTGCTCGAAATGATTGGCCGTGAGGAAAAAAATTCACGAGGTAGGGTGGGCCGGGTTAAAAAAGAGCTGAGGAAATCGTATTCACCTCCAAAATGGCGAGGGAGCGGGCGGGGAAGCATGCGCCTCGCAAGCTCCGTGCACTCTTTTTTAGGCGGAGAAAACAGCAGAGAAAGAACAGGAGCGGCAGCAGCTCTTTTTCCTGAACCTGGCCACCGATCCCGCGGACATAATTAAGCGTCTGTCTTTGAGCGATTCCGCTGCTGATTCGTCGTCGCGCAAGCTGTCCACCGCACCCCGGAACAATACACGCCTTCTTCTTCTCCTCGTCGTCGTCGGCGTTGTTGTTGTCCCCGTGGTCGTCTTCGTCTTCGTTGACGTCGCCGTTTCCACCGTCGCCGCCGCTGCTACCGTCGTCGTCGTCGTCGTCGTCGTCGTCGTCGTCGTCGTCGTCGTCGTTGCTGTCGCTGTCGCTGTCGTCGTCGTCGTCGTCGTCGTCGTCGTCGTTGTCGTCGTTGTCACCGTCGTCGTCTCTGTCGTTGTCGTTGTCGTTGTTGTCGCCGACGTCACCGTTGTCGTTGTGCCGTTGCCGTTGCCGTCGCCGTCGTGTTGTATACGCACGTCACGAACGCACGTATGCACGCATACACGCACTCTCTCGCGAGAGAGTGAGCGAGCCACGAGCTAGCGAGCGACGACGATCCGTGACGAGTGTTGACACGGCGCCCACCGTCGCTCGAACCTACGGACGAGCGCAGGGAACACGCTCGAGAATTCCACTGCTGCTTCACGCCCGCTTTTGCTCGTATCGCTTTGTATTGTACCGTATACTGTATACACTACACGGCACATCACCAAAATTGCCCGTCGCGATGGCGATGGCGCTCTGTGCCAATCGTATTGCAAACTAATCACTTCGGTATGATCGCTCTCTCTTGTTCCTCTTTGTAGAACAATTCAGACAGTTTTCTCTGTTACCAACCGATGAAAAGTTCGATTTTTAACAATTACTTCATTATTCGCATGTGGCAATTTAAACATTTCTGCTTTATCATATAATAATTCTTTAATTTACACAATGTATATTCTACAAGTGGATTTTGTAAAACTGTATATAAATAGAAAATCACTTATACTAAATGTTATATTATTCTACAGTGTAGTTTTATATGATATTTATAGCAGTTCAGAAACAAGTCATCCTATTTTTTAAGAATTAAATATATAATTGGGAATTATGTAATAAAATAATATATAAGAGGGAAAAGATATATATGTATATATAATATTTACAGGAATTTTACTTCATCACATAAAAGTAATGAAATATTCCTACTTTGTCATTTGCACATATGTAATCTCCTTTTCAAGTGTGATCTAGATCTTCCATCAAGGAAGTGAGAAATGTGTTGCCATTGATTAATCTAGTAGTTCCCACGACAAATTCAACATTTACTGAAAACAAATTTGTATTATATCGTATGTCTCCATTGATTTAATTATGCAAATAAATACTTTATAATTTCATATACTCACAGTCTTCTTGTTGTGATAAAAACCGAAGAGCAGATATTTCAGCAAAAGTACATCCTCCAATAAAAAATACCATAATTAATTTTGTTGGTTCAGAACTAGAATCTTCGCTAGTAATCGAATTTCCTGAAATAAAAATTTGTTATACTTTCAAGGTAAACTCATCTCTTGATGAGAATAAACTGTACATAATGAAAGTATAAATTTAACGTACGTCTCCCTGAAGATGCATTATACGGAACACTGCTTACAGTAGGACCTGGCAATAATCCCATTACATCGTTTAATCCTTGCCATCCACTTGGTTGCACTAATTGTTCTGCTAATCTCACACTCAGTGGTGCGTATATAGAATGTACATAACTGATATCTTTTGGTGTTATTTCACTCTCATCCTCAACCGTGAGTCTTAAAGCTTTCCTTAAAACCGCGTATTGTCGCACTGATTGCTGCTGCTTTAATAGTCCAGCTTTTTCTAAATTTAATATAGTTGGCAAATGTTGGAATCCGTAAGTGTGAATTATTTCTCTCTTATAGTAATCTAATATTTTCGGCTTTAAACCGGAATTTGTCAATGATTGTATGCAAAGAAGACGTAAAACTTTGAGTAATGGTTGCTGCTGCGCTATCATATCTTCAATGTACGCATTTGGTTTGTCTGTGTCGATACAATTTAACAATTCTTGTTCGACTTGCAGAGATTCTAAGAAATTACTCGAGTCGGTAACTTCTTTTATCATTTCAGCAATTGTGGTATCTAGCGAATAAAAGATTATGATAGAACACTTAAACAAGAAAGAACTTTTCTATTCAAAAAATTATGCAAATTGACTTAAACACAGCTTACGTCTTGCTAAAGATTGCTTTGTCGCTAGCATATGTGGTAATCTTGCAACAAACTGTTTGATTTCTTGTACACTCTTATCTCCATGTCTTTCGTCAAACTGAGATGAAATTATTTTAGCTTTCTTGCTCAAAACCGGGCCAACACCATTAAAGTTTTTATCTCTGTAAAATTTATTTTTATGAAAGACTATTAGGGGAAGATATGAATATCTGAATCGTATACCTGATCTCAGCGAAAAGTTCTTCTCCTGAATTCAATATGATTTGTTCTTTTTCATTTAAAGATATAGCTGTGGGAGAGTCATCGGAATCATGAAACTTTCTCGCAGGTAATTGCACAGTATCTAGAATAGAAAAATATTTCTATTAATATTTCATATATTTGAGAAAAAACAAATTTGATAGCAAATTGATGAAAAGCATTCAAAGCAAAAAAAGTATTTAAATTTACAAAGTAACATTGATACTTTACTATATTTTATTCCAAATATTTCATCAATTAGTCCTTCGTAAGTTAACTGTGTAACTAACGGCGAAAGTAAATCTACAGATCGATCCAATAATAATAAGTGTTCAATAGCAACAGATGAGGTAGAAACTGCTTTATTATCTTCTTCTTCTCTGTTTAATCTCTGTAATAATTCCCAAACTTTGCTAGCAGCTGGTCCTCTTCCTGTGATTCTTGAAATTTTTCCATATAATTTCTGTAAACCTTGTATAGCTTGTGCAACTTGATATAGACAAGTGGGATCATTTTCCAAATAGAATTCTTTAAAGGATCCACTTAGTTCCATTGATAATAGATCATTATCAAATGGAAAGAGATCACATTTGAATTCTTCTATCAATGTGAAACTGCCAAATACACCACGATTCTGAAGTTTTTTTTGACAGAGTAGACTTTTCCGTGGTACAAAAAATAAATGAAATTCTTTGCGTGGCCTTTTACCCTCTTCACTGTAAATACATTAAAAGATGTACATATTTATATATATATTAATATATAATGTAGTATGATGTGTATAATAAATTTTTTATGCTAAAATTATTAAAAAACAAAAGTAACAAAATTACTATGTGCTACTACTAACAATTTTACTTGCAACATTTACAAGTGGTTTTGGATATGACTCTTGTTAACGTCAAGCTTATTAAAGCAATTCTACTCTATCTGACAACATATTTGTTTCATGCTTACCCATGAATATTTTCAGCAATTAAATCCATGAGTTCCAATTGTGGTCTTGAAATGAATATGATGTTGGCAATATTAGGTGGTATTGTCAAAGTTCCACCATACAATGGATACATTTTTACGACACCATATTCCTCCAATAAATTATACTTTGCAACAAGACCAATTGGTCCAGCTAACGATTGATCCCATATAATAGCCTACACAGTAAACAACGAAAGCTAATATATTATATAGTTAAAATTAATATATATGTATTCAGTTAACTTTTGGTTAAAAGAAGTTAGGTTACGTTTGGATTATTTTGATACCTTGGAGCCATCGCATTTTTCTAGCAAACAAAGCAACCGTTTTCTCGCTTGTTCTTGTATAAGCCCAATATTTAATTTGCCTCCTGTCAAATATGTTGATGACATGATTACAGCGTATTAGCTACGTGCAATATCACATCTGACATCGTCCGCAATAGATAACCTCAATACACTCAACACACTGCACACTGCTATACACTGCGTTACAGCCAGCGGTATTGACAGTGATCTTGTGCGTGCGCACAGTGGAGCATATTTAGTGTAAATACTCAATATATACTTACAATACCATTGATTTAATCGTACAGCTTGAAAAAAGTGTTACTGCACTAATACTTTTTTCAGCAAATATATAAGTGATTAAATAAGTAAATAAAAATAAATAAATCAGTTTTAGTTTTATTTGTATGACAAGTAATTATTATAAATAAAAGTTCGCTTCAATGATTCGTTCAACACTTGATATTTTTCAATATCTATTAAAATTGAAATTAAGTTTACAATTTTATTTTTGCGCTAAAAATTACTATCTATTATACTACATGAAGTTTATTACATTGCAGTTTGAGTATGTGCATACCTCAAGATCTCAATACCAACGAACTACGTTCAGTTATATGCAATGCGCCACAGTGATTGTAGAATAATTTTTAAATTGGTTCGTATTTTTTGTGATAATTATTGTCTAAATGTAAATCTCACACTTGAAAAGTTATCATAAGTGTCTCGCAATGTCAAACGTTCATTCTAATATATTAAGCAACGCGTTGCCGTTATTGTACAACATTGCGATTTCGGTGTCGAAACTTTCTTGTATGTCTTCGGAGTCTTATTTTTTATTTTCACGTTGTTTTTCACGTTATTCAAGTGTACTGAAAATGCAACGAATGCATGATTATTACGAGGTATTTATATACAAGTTTCATAATTTATTTTATAATATATTTTCTAATTAACTGTGTTGATTGCATTGTAATAATTCAATATATTTTTAATTTATAACTTTACTAATTGTAAGAAAAATGTCAAACTTTATTTCCACAGTAAATAATTATAATTAATTTTAATTATATTAATATTATTTTTAGTATTGGGAAATTTTGCATATTGAACGAATTAATACAAATAATTAATTACTGATTAACAATTCATTTCTGTCAGTTATAAGATATTTTGAATTACATTTATGTTAAATAACTATAGAAATTTGCGATATGTTGCAGTTTTAGCATTTTGAGAATCGTTATTGTTGTGATTTCAGGGATCTGCATCTGTGTACATACTTGGGGTCGATTAAGATTTCCTTCGAATATTATCCACGTTATCTTCTCGCCGGAATACATAGCAATTGTAGCCAATGCATATTTATCATCAAACATGTGTATTTTGTTAAGTAGTAGTTGTTCTGTAGTTGGATCTCTACTTAGCGTTTATAATAATTCAACTAATTTTAACATTTACTAAAAAATTTCGAATTTTATCTTCTTTTAATGTTTAACCCTGTGAAATATTGTGTATGTACAATCGCTATTATAAATCAATATTATGATCAATGATCTGCATCTGTGTCCGCAGTCGATCTAAAGTTTTTTCGTTCATTTTGCATCTTCTCCACTCAAAAAAATATTTCGCTGATGTAGTTAGATTTCTAGATATCGCAACAAGAATGTATCGCTATTTTTCGTATCTGTGAAAACATTGTTTGTCACATATAGAATTTATAGCAGTAATGTTCTAGCAATAGCTTCTGAAAAATTTAGGTACCACTGCTAAATGTTATTCATTGCATGATCTAACACGTGATTGATCTTATATAGATAGGCGCTTTAGAGAAACTTTCTTTTTAAAGTTCACAAACAATACAGATATATATTCTGTTTCTGTCATCTAAACTGATTAAGTAATTACATATGCAATATCACAACAGTTGCTAATCATTTATCTGTTTTAGTTAATTTTTTACACCTAGAAAATTTTAGCTATTATTGCAAGATCATTTTTTCGAGTGTCGTCAAAGTGCTTTTTTCTGTAATTAATTGTATCTATTGTGTTGTCTCATCATTTTAATTGAAATTGATATATGTATAAAGTAAAAATTGTTATGTTTGGTTTATGCGGCACTTTATATGTCGATGAGATATTATGAAAAAAATCATAATTATAACAATCTTTAATTAATCTTAATTGTTTCTATTTTTAAAACTTATTTAATATTAGAATTACAAGATAAACAATTTAATATTTAATATTTGTATTTAATATTTAATATTTGTAAAATTAAATATTGAAAAGTTAAGAGGAAGGTTATTTATTACTAAAATTAGTATATATATAAACTTGCTATTTAATTTCTACGAATACACGCACGCGTATATAGATTGTATATAGATATGAATATGTGTTTCTAATAAAACTTTTATCTTAAAAATTGATAATTTTAATCACTGTTGCATAACTCTGCTTCATTGTACTATTGAAAAATAATCATATGTGGGAACTTTTTTGTTGAGAAACAGTCATGTGTCTAGTGTTAAATTTTAAAAAGTGTCAAAAATTCGTTTTTACGGAACATTTGTGATAATAACATTGCATAGTAATGTAATAGAAAATCTAAAAAATTCGATTGCTTAAAGTTTGCGTGTCGCAAAGTACCTTATGTATTTATTTAAACATTGGAGCACTTAATTAATCAGTTAGTAGCATCTGATTTATGTCAACAATTGCTATTATTTAGTAAAAGATGCATTGACAGAAAGTGCAACTTTAAAGAAATAACTTATCTTAACAATAAGAAATAAATGCTTATAGATTTTAGGAAATTAATCGAAAATATTAACGTTCCTGCATATGCAAATTCAGCTTGCCCATTTCTGCTTGATGCCGACACGGCATCAACAAATCGATAAAATTATGTTTATCGTTTATTATTATATCTCGTTTATCTCGTTTTCGTTTATTCGGATTACTGTGTAATATATATATATAATATATACCGAGAAGCATTGTATGTCAGCTTCTATCGGTGCAGGCGCACTTTCTGTGGCACACTGTGTCAGTGCTCCGGAGACTGCGCAGCATCCCGTGCGGATAAGCGGCGTCCACGTAGCGCGAACACGGAGAAGGGATGCGATAGGGGAAACACTTTGGTTTTTAATCCGTGGGTGTAGCGACATGGTGGGGACGACCCTCTCTTCTCGTCGCACTCTTCTCGCCGATCCAATCTCACCCTCGTCAGCGCGATCGAGCCCCTTCTCGCCTGCTCGGTTACCCTCTACTCCGTTGAACCTTTCCCCCCGTCCCACTCGAGCACCCCACCATCGATCCTCCCGCCACATCGTCTGTCGTCCCGACGTCCTTTCTAACATCCTCCGTGCTTCTCGTCAGGCGGGGGTTGCTACCGGTCTCCTAGTGACTTTCGTCGTTGGGGGTCGCGTGACACGTGCGTGAGAAAATACCGGTCCTAGTCTCGGTCGCGATCCCGATCGATACAACGACCGAGTGGTCCCTCGTTGCTGGCACCGCGATCGTAACAGATCGGCGAAAAATCAACAATCGCCATTCGGTGACACTTTTGGTGATTCGCATCGCCAGAGATTCGCAAGAATATTGAAGATCGAGTGATATATCTTTTGGTGATCCATCGTCGTGAACGAGTTTGATTGTCGTGACTGTGTCAACGGTTTTCGAAAACTTCTTCGCGAGGAGGATTTCAAGATTAGTGCGCGCGTCTTATTTAGAATGGTTTGCGAATCGCAAGAAACGGCGGCTTCGGTATCTCGCGATATTCCTCAAGAGTCGGGGTGTTTTCAAGTAGTTACCAAAGGTTTCAGCTCTTTAAACACTTTTAATATGGTATCGTTGTCGATACTTGTTTCAATGCGCGATGCAACGATAGAAGATAATTCACGAGTAACGTGACAATTAATGTTCAATCGAATTGCATCATTGATTCACACAATTTTATTCACAACTTCCATCTTTTGTCACATAATTAATTTTATTCTACCGACATTCGCCAGATTAATTCCTTATTTTCCATTTGTAAGCATAAGCAGCGTCTCAAGTATTGTTACAACAACTCCGTAATCACATTGTGTTTTCCGAGTAGTTTTCTCGTGTCTTCTCTGTCATTATGGCTTTTACAGCTATCATCATTACGCTCGTGTTTGCGAGCATTGTTTGATGTTTCACCCTCTCTTTGACCATTACTCCATCAGTATTTTATTTGTCAACGTCCGCTATCCAAATTTGTTATTGATATTTGATTATTGAGTGAATAGCACGGACGTTAAACAATTTGATGCGTGTGAAGATGAGGCACGCGATGTACGTACGAGGATATATTTCGACTCCAAGTTTCGCAGTGTTGTATTATTAAAGTCTAAAGTAATTCTTCGAAAATGAAGCATCCGCGGCACAGTGAATTGTAAAAAGTTGTAATTTAGAAAAATCGCGAAACGACACTGTAATTGGATCTAGTCCCATCAGTAGCATCCCCATTTTAAGCTGATACTAGAAGATTTAAGCAAAGAAAGATATCATAATCGTGTAACATACATTCACACATTCACACACGCACACGCGCGCGCGCACACACATACACACAATAAAGAAAGTGGCATGGAATTAGATCTTCTTTTGCGGGAACGTAATCATAGGAAGGCAAAAAATAGAGAAAGAAAAGCTGACAAGAGATTAAAGAGGCTGTAAGCCTTCTTTGTTCCTTTTAATTGGACGAAGCTTGTGAAGAACAAAGTTTCTTTAAAGTTATTCTCACCATTTTCACGCAAGATGCATTTTCAATTCGTGCATATCTTTCGGCTTTATTTTATGCGAATCAGACGTCCTTTCACGTCTTTGTTAATCTCTCTTATCGAGTTTACTGAATATACCAATATAATTTAGTTGCTTCTACTTTTCAATTATAAATTCAAACATCCCTTATATAATCAATAATTTGTATTATCTCTTAAAGAATTCTATTTAAAGACGAAAATCATACGTGTGTGGCAACGGGAAGCGAGAAACATCGGTTTTACGTGTTATTATGTGTCTTGTGTGAAATATGTGGACCATACATATCAATTTAATAATTATTTCTTAATAACGCTTTAGCTGTAATTTTCACACACACACACACACACATACATCTCCATACTCGCGCGCACGCACGCTCACAAAATATAATATGAGATATACAGCAGTTATATATAAATT